CATTTGTTTGAAGCCTGGGTAGAAACCATAAAGATGGCAGTGGGGAAACAAGGCTGGCTGTTCCCGAAACAGGAGAGTTAGTAAAACTTGGAGCAAGGGAATATGCTGCCCATATTTCCCTGAAATAAAATCATCATTCATGTTAAAATAATTTTGAATATGCCACAGTTACATGACTCTGAAATAAAAAATAAAACCTCAGTAAACATTTCTGGGATGCTGTACAACCAAAATAGATTTATATAATTATGACATCTCATTCTGAGGTTGATTCCAAATTCTTCATTCATGACCTGTGAAAGGACTCTTGTTCTTACAGTCAACATTAAGGCATACACAATTCCTATAAGAAAATTATTCTAACAATTGCTTTGGGATATTAAAGTTCCATGACTATAAAATATATCCTACATACATAGACATGTGCACACAAACTTGCACACTAGCAAACATAAACCACAAGTATACTCTTACGTGTAAGCCACAGATTTTTTTGAAATCAGTTTTACATGTTTCAAATAACATTTTTTTACAGTGTCGATGCCATAGTCAGACAAATGACTTCCCAAGATATATGTTCATTTTCATGCGTTAGAAGAGAACATTATAGAATACTATGTGGACCATAAAATGATACAGGTAAAAATCAGTTGAATGACGATGTGTTAATTCTCTGTCTTATGAAACTTTATACACTGGGAAAAGCCAGTGAGATTTCATTTAATTCTTCTCATCATAGTCATTCTTTATGTCCAATTCCAGGAAAGGTTAAAGCTATTACAGAGAACTGTAAGAATCTGTCTTATCCCTTTGCTGCTGTGGAATCAAGTTAATGTATTAAATCTTGCTGTAGCAGGTGAACCATTGGCTAAGATTGTTAATCTCTTGTCAGACCATATTTTCTGGTGGCAGCATTAATTACTACAATGGAATCTGACCTTCAGGCTGAGAAATCTTCTCCTAACAGATAAATAGAATGCTTTTTTTAAAAAAATGTTAGATGATGAATCCAGGTTTTTGTATTACTTACCATTGATCATATGAAAGATGAAGCCCAAAATGTTCAAATGTAACTGCTTAGAATTTCTGCCTGTAACAAAGTAAAACAAAACAAACAAACAAACAAAAAAATAGAGCCACTTGGGCTTTTCTTCTATAGACCTTGGTTCTTTTTATTTTTTGTACCAGAGGAACCCAGGAGTGCTTAACCACTAAACCACATCCGCAGCCTTATTTTTTTTAATGTTTTAAATTTTGAGAAAGGGTTTCACTAAATTGCTTAGGGCCTTGCTAAGTTGCTCAGACTGGCTTCAAATTTGTGATCCTCCTTCCTCAGCCTTCCACATCATTGGGATTACAGGCATGCACCACCAAGCCCAGCTAGACTCTTACTTTTCAATTTCCAATAGGTATGGGGCTCACTCATTTGATATCACCCTATGGTGCAAAGAGAAGGCTCAAATAATCTGGATGGGAGAGTCTCTCTGTCTATAGTTGTGCCTTGAAAGATATGAGTTGAGTTCCTAAAACGGATAAGTATTAGGAGGGTGGGCTCATATTTTAATCTGACAGAAAAGCTTATGATGAAAAGACCAAGTATACCTAAGTAGCACAGAATTAGGGGACACAGCAGACATGTGAGTAAAAGTACCTTTGGCCACCAAAAACTTTATGGTTCACAGCCGTTCTGCAAACCTCTAAACCACAAATCAACTATGCAGCAAGGAACCTGGAAAGATGACACTCTTTTTAAAAAAAATTTTTTTTTTAGTTGTTAATGGACCTTTATTTTATTTATTTGTATGTGGTGCTGAGAATTGAACCCAGTGCCTCACACATGCTAGGCAAGCGCTTTACCACTGAGCCACAACCCCAGTCCCATGGAAAGAAGACATTCTTCATACAGAAGACCAGTATACAGTTTGCTTTAGGAACTCCCAATGGCTGACTCCCAATTGCAAAGAAAACTCTTTGTAAACTCTACCACAAACAGCTTAAGGTGTCCTATTTTAATGGTTTATTAAAAATATTATGAAGCTTAAACTGTCCATAAGCAGCATACAGATTCCAATAGTAAAGAGAAAGGCAGCTTTCTTTCTGGTCCTCACACTGTTGGAACATACTGCTAAAGGAGAAACTGTCTTATTAAGATAAGGACGATGACTGAGTTAAGACTTCTAAGCCCAGGTATGAAAGTTTTGTTTTTTCAGGTCTAGCAATAAAAACTTTCATCGATAACAACCAGCACCATGTTGAAGAGATAGATATAAGGTCATAAATCTTCATGAAGAATCTGAGACTAATACTATAACTCTTGTCAGTTCAATGTCTGCCACATTTCTCACCTAGTCTAGCTTAAGTACTTCTAGCACCAAAAACACTCTGTCAGGTTGGAACCAACTGTCTATTTAGTTACGGGCTTTTCTTTGCTTGTGTGACCTTCATTTTAAATTCAAGTAATCTTCTTCTGGAATGTAGGCACTGACAAGATGGAAGAGGGCAACACAAAGAGAATATCTGGGGAAAGCAGAGGAGACAATTATCTGAATTATGTCCACACAGTCTAAAGGAGTCATCCAGATGATTTTCTGTATTGATTCATTTTGATGAAAAAGTCTGCCTTCATAAAAGTAGAATCTTAAAAGTGATGTGTTCTCAATACACGAGCAGATATAAATAATGTTGAAATTTTAAGTTTGAAGGAAAATTAAACTTCTCAGAAACAAAGAAATATAACTGGTTAGTCTTTTTACCTCTTCCCCTTGAGTATATTCTTTTCCCAAATAGCCTTTTTTTTAAAAAAAAATTGCCTTTAGACCACATTTATATAATTTAGTAGCATGGCAGGATTCATTAAATAGTTCCAAGTCAGCTTTCAGTTTTTTTTCCTTTATCATCGATTTTATAGAATTGAAAAGACTTCTTCACACTTGATTCTCAAACTCATATTCCATCAAAAACTGAAAACTGGGCCACAAATTAATTCATTTTAATTTATCATTTGTCAAATTAATCCTCTCACCAACAAATAAAAACAAAACTCAGTTGATCTCACTTAGCTTCTATGAATAAACATGGAGATTTTAAAAGGTATTTTAAGTGCTTTCTTAAACACAGCTCAGACCAACTCACGCATCCAAGCAGATTATTCCCTTCTTGCTTATTTAAACATATTTAAAATGGCTCAAGTGGGCTAGGACAATTATAAAACTCTAGAATGTAAAATTGATACAGCTGGTAAGGTGACCTCAACACAAACCATGACAGGAAAGCCACAGGAAAACAAAAAATTTTCTCAAAGAGCACAAAGAACCAATCATTTTCACTCATCCTCTTTTCCCATCTCACCTTAACCCTTTATAACACAATGTACTTCACTCATCAATCTGACATCAACAAGAGCTCATCCACATAAACATCCCGACTCTCACACTTTGCCCCTGAAGTCATCCGTGTCTTACAGTCTTCAAAACATAAATTTCAGGTGTTAAAATTAGCTGGACTTCAGAAGCTAACAAGAAATCACTTCCTCACCCCCTCAGTCCTGTATTCTCACACACATTCCCAGCTCCAGTCCTCCTGAAGATGACTCCAGTGATCCTCCTAACACTCAAATAAAAGTTACAACTTCTACAGTGAGAGGTGGGGAACACTCAAGGAACAGTCATGCAATGCAAGATATACCTGAGGCTGCACACTCCATTACCTTCCTGAACAACTGCCATACAGAGGCAGAGTGTCAATGTGGAGACTGGGTGTGTGTTTTGCAAAGTTGTGGCCACACTGCCCATCATGCCCCTCACAGACCAGGTACCTTGCATTTTGAGATCCCCAGCACAATTACTGGGGGCCTCAAATATAAGGTGCTCAGAATGATGGCTAGACCTTTGCTAGGAGACAAATTCTGGTGATGAGAACAGTTTCCATTGAATGGGTGTTTTGTTCTTTCTCTTTCCATTGTGATTTTTTTGGCTGCGGGTTTAATGACTCCTGAGGCGATGATGACTTGTTCTAAGTAATACAGCCTGCCAGGCACAGTACCCAAGGATCCAGCTGGAATCATACTGGAAGGTTGCTCCAGATAACAATAGTATATCACCTGGGAGCATGTCAGAGCCAATGGTGACCCAGACCTGTCTAGAAGTTAGGTGTCTGGAGATACATTTAAAAAATTTTATGTTTTGCCTCTCTAGTGTGAGAGCAAGCAAAGACTTCAAAAGCACAGGTATTAGGATGATGGCAACACTAGAAATAGAAAATAAAATTTATAATAACTAATTTTATTTCAAAGAAAATGGCATGTGACACTGGTGAATATCTGGCATTAACACTGTGGCTTAACTTCCCCTTAGTCTTATGATGATTTATATAGTTTTTATTAGAAAGTTTATCCCAATGATGTATGTAGTTGCCATTTCTGAATACAGGAATAATTTTAAATTTGACATTTTTATATTTTTTAAAATAACCAACATCCTCAAGCTTAATAATATTCACATCCCCAAATCTGTATTTTTACTGTCTAGACAAATTACAGTAAGAAAACTTCAGCAAGAAAATGAATAAGCACCTTTGAGAATTAAATGCTAGCCTTATTATGTGATTAGTGCTTATTTTTCACAAAATCGGTTGCCAACTGATCCCATGATATGAGGGACCTCCTAGTAGTACCCAAAGAATAATATCCCATATTTGTGTAAAAGAAATCATTTGTATATTGGGTCATTAGAAGCATTTTGCTATAGAAGTAGAAGTTCATAGCCATTAAAGATTAGTTTACAGCTCTCAGAAAGATAGGTGTAGCTGGTTGTGGTTTCTTAAGCAATTTACATGGTTTTTCTTCTAAATAGAAGCAATGCAAAACACTCACTGACTATTGGTTTGAGAAATAAACTTTTCTGGCTGGCAAATAAATTGCACTGTTAATTTTGAGAAGGAAAAAAAAACACCTTTTTTTCTTATAAAATGCCAAGGCAATCTCAAGAAATCCATAATCACAATTAACTCTGCACAGTGAGAGCATCTTCTTCTACCAAGGACAGCTCCAGGGTGTTTTCATTAGTGCTGGTTTTCATCCTGAAGTTGAAAGAACCATAGAGTTTTGCAGATTCTTTGGAAGATGCAAATCTGTTTCGACGATAGAGCTCCCCCTTCCACATAGACATCATTAACAAACAAGACAGAACAACCCCCCCAAGCGTGAGGAGGCAGAGCCCAGCAATCACACAGCGGTCCAGATGAGCCCCGAGCCTTGCACTCTCCTTCTCTAGACGTTCCATCTCCCTGGCTGCCACGCTGTTGGGATCCACTGTCACCTCTCGTGGGACAATGTAAGAAATGATCACCAGCAAAATGCCGGTGACCAAGAACAAGATGGCGCTGATGAAACCATAGTCAATTGACTTCCCTGAAGATGTGACTTCTGAACTGGTGTCATCTTCATCTTCGGAGATCAAGGATATGGCAGCCTCATGAGACCATTCACTTGGATTTCCCCAGCCAAGGTCTTCAGGATGATTACTGCCTTTTGCTGAAGGGGACCTCCGGTTCCGCTGCTCCAAGTTGACATTCTCATCCACATAAGTAAAAGATGTTTCTAATTCTTGGCTGCAGCAGTTGCAGACTTTCCGTTCTGCTGTTATTTGGGTGTTCCCTGAGTCAAGGGGTCCTGGTGGGAAGAAGTTTGGCTGAATAACACTGTCTTGCAGACAGGAAGAAGGGGATGCTGGAGAAGGGCTAAGTCTAGACCCTTCCATCCCAGATAATCTTGGTGTAGATATACAGTGTTTTTGACAGCAAAGAGCAGCCCTGATGGCTGCTACATCTACAGGGTCACCAGGAAGCCCTCCTGAATTATGGTCCATGGCATTGCACAGGTCTGCCTGGCTGCTCTTCTTAGTAAGGTAATGGAGCTCCATGGGAGCTAGTTAAATCCCCCAGCAGCTTCTAGAAATTCTGCCAACAGCAACAAATTTAGGTAAGAACCCAACAGGAATTAAGATTGTACTGCCAGGAGTGCTGCTTCTAAAGTCCCCATTTTCTTTGCAGCCCTGGCTGTCAGCACCTCAGCCCCAATTCCTCCTAAAAGGGGCAAAAGAAGGGAAATAGAGTCCCAAGTAGCAGAGAAGTATGGAAAGGGCAAATCTTCTCACTTGCTACAGGGGTTAACACTGAGAAACTTAGGTCAGGGTAGAAAAGGAGCACTGAGGAAGTGGCAGTGTCTCTGGAAAAAGCATACTGCTGTCACCAAGCCAAATTTATCCAAGGACTCACACATTCCTGTGACAGGATCCCTCAAATGAGGAGTCAGGTTTCCTGCAGAAAGACACAAATGAGAAAGACAGGGGCCCTTTTTAAGAGCTGCTGAATTTCTGGAGGACTTGAGGAAGCACAGATTTATTAACAATTCAATTAGATTGCATGTTTACACTCTAGTTCAGAACACATTCTGGTATCTGGTACAGATTAGCTTTAAGAATATATATTCCTATCTGTTGGGTTCCATTGTAGAAGGGGCTCAGCATGTTTGACTCAGTTAATTCTGAAGTGGGTGAAAAGACTGGCTTACTTTGCCACCTCTTCCAACCTGACACTTCATATATCCAATAAGCAAGTCACACGGCCCCAGGCCCTATATTTATAAGATCATGTACTTCCACTTGTTCATGTACTTCCATTCTGCCCCATCCCCTTTCGGGTAATATGTGCTGGTCCCCAAAGTGTGTAGATCACACACTGCACTGTGATCCTTGCAAAAAATGCCATGAGCTAGCCCACTCCTACACACACACACACACACACACACACACACACACACAGCCTGCATGTCTGCTCTTCCTGTATACTGCACCTCAGTGGGAGAGTTTCTTCTCCCTCCCCTACAATTTGCTAGCAGACAAGCACAAGAAACTGATCATCCAGAAATTTTTACAAACCCAATCTAGAAGTAAAATAAATGACAAATGGAAAGCCCACAGAGTTCTGTCCGGCAAATAGGTGACAAGCTATTTCCAAGAGTATCTGGAAGTTTACATCCATGACATTCCCTCACCTCTGCTGCAGCATAGAACCTTTGAGGGACAGAACTTTGGGCAGAAAGCCACCTGTCCATCTTTCTCTTGTCTCTATCACCTTTCTGACACATAATAATTCACTTTTCACAATCACTAAATAAATATTGGAGTTTTAACCAAGGGCTCCTTTTATTTTGATTCCAAACCCTGGGTGCTAACTGATTTTAACTAGAAGGCTAAGACTTATTATTCTTCAAAATCCACAGCCCCAACAGCTCTTAAGAGGCTCAGACACTGGCCACCTAAGGTCAACCTGGCAACTTAAGGCATAAGCACACAGTTCCTAATATCCATTAGAGATTTGTTTTTGTTTTCAAACAAAAACTTGTCTCCTATTAGAGTTTCTCTGCACCTAAAACAAAAACAAAAAAACCACTAAGTGCAAGGAAACCACAAGTGAACCAAAGCTTTCCTTTAGCAAGTAGACAAACCTCTACTGAAAGATCCCTCAATGAGGAAAGTGCTGGTAAAAGCTTTCATCAATTACTGAAAATGAGGACTCATCTTGCAGATCCCTCAGGCATTAGGCACTCTGATTAACCTTTGGCACAATTAACTAATCACATTAATACTACTTTGGATAAAATCGCCAGGGTTCCTTATAGGACTTCCAATATGTAACAAAGAGGGAGAGGAATATCCACTCTTGCCTCTATGCCTCTTAGAAGGAAGACTCTGTTGGTTCTATGAGAGATACACTAGCTGTACAGTCGATTTCCTTGAAACCCGGAATCCGGGGCTTCCATTCTCTGGGGAGAATGGATAATCCCAGGGGGCCAGCAAAAGGTCTTTTCTTCTGTCCTCTCCTTTTTTTCTCTGGTATCTTTTAAAACACAGATAAGAAGATTGCACCTTAAAGCGAGGGGACAGCACTTTCCCTCATCTCTTTGCCGTCAATGAAAGGCATAAAATTTGCTTAGAAACTGACTGGGGTGAGGCTGTTCTGGGGGAAACGACCTCGGGATGCGTCCTGAGCGCTCTGTGCGGGGAAGAACCAGCCGCAAGCAGCAGAGTCCCCCGCCGGCGCTGCGGGATCAATCAATCCATTCCGGGTGAAGTCTGCGCCCACCTAAGGCACCCTCAGCCGGGCTGTGTCCGCCGAGGTCCGGTAGGGGAAGCAGGAACCTAGTGCTGGGAGTGGGGACACGCGCCCCTGCTCCGCTATGTTGCCAGCTCTCTCCTTCATGCCCGGCGCCCTCTCCCCATCCCGCTCTCCGCCACTCACCTTCCGCCTGGGCCACCCGGTGCGGCTCCAGCACCGCGCGCACGCCGGTGCACGACTCTAGGAGAAAGTCCCCCACTCCCCAGCCGCGGCACTTGTAGCCTCGGCGCGCCGCTCGGCTCCGCCGGGTGGGCAGCACCCGCCGAGCCGGGTGGGGCGGGGCGGGGCGCTCCCTCTTGCTGAGCATCCCGGGAGTTGTAGTTCCGAGGCGGCCTCTGCATGCCTCCCGTCTCCGTTTCTCTTCCAACGCCTCTGTTTTGCCTCTTCCTGAAGACTAACCAGTTGCTCTCTGCCTCTATACTCCTGCCTGGCACCCCAAAAGAAGTGCTGGCTTTTAAGCTAAGAATGGGCTCTTCCAGCCTCAAGGATTGTGAGGATGGCATAGGAGGAAAGAAGTCTATGTTTAGTTCCAACTGTGTGCCAAATAATTTGCATATTTTGTCTTATTTAATGGTCAGAACAAATCTTTGAAATAGATTTTATTAATCCTCATTTTGCAGATGAGGAAGCAGGCTCTGAAAGATGCAGTGCGTCATACGAGGTTACAAAGACAATAAATGGTAGCTTCTAAAAAGTCATAACCTTTCTCACAAAATCAAGAGAAATGTGACCATTGAGAGTACAGGATTGTCTTGTTCATCAGTTTATTACCTCTGCTTAGTGCAGTATCTGGTATCTGTTGAATTTGTGGATAATAATGACTCAAAACCACAATTAGCATAGTTTTCATTATTGCCAGGCTTTCTTCTATGTGCTCATAACTCATTTAATGCTCATAATTAATTTTTAAGGTACTGTAAAAATTAAGAAGAGAAAACTGAGTTAAAAAGAAGTAATTTTTCCAGATCATGCAACTGCAGACTCTAAACCCAAACAGACTCTAAGTATTTATGTTATATTAAGAAAAAATAAAAGAAAGACCAGAAGGCAAGAGTGGAGTAAGGGAAAACTGTAGGTGGAAGCCTCTGAGCTGTGGTTCCTAGGCTAGGGAAAGGCAGTTTCTTTGAATTATAACTCTCTTTCACCCAGAGTGGACTGCAGCAGCCAAAACTAAAGACCCAGGACATTTGTAGTTTGAGAGTCCTCTCCAATTTTTTTGGTATCTCTTTTGGGGTGATTCCAGGGTCATTTATTGTTTCCAGTTAAGGGGAGCACAGATGGATTACAATACTGAAGACAATTTGTTGCTTGTGAGTAGCCATGGCTGCTTGCTTTCAAGAGATAGACTAGATTCCAGTAATGACAAGTTTTGTTCCTTTGTCTTTATGCTGGATAGAAGTCACAGTCTCATGACTCCAAGGACTTTATAATCCAACACTTTAAAAGTCTTTTTTCCCCATGATTCTCTTTTTAGTCAGTTATGCTCATTTGTTCATGACATGTGTATTATGGTTTCTTTTGCTTGTTACACTGTTCTTCAGTGAGAATATCTTTTTTCTGGTTCTCTATTCCATTTCCCCTTCAATGACTAGCTGGTAGAGACTCATTTACAGGGGTACATTCTATTCTTAGTACTACGTATTCAAAAAGGACATAAAGACACTGTAGGACATCCAGAAGAGTGCAACTAAGATGCTGAAAAAACTTGAATTTATGTTGTACAAAGATATGCTGGAGGAACTTGAAGTATATATCCAAAGGAGGAGACTTAGAGAAAACAAAAACTAGTTTCATATAACTTAAAGTTAACAAAACATAAAAGGAGTTTTACATTGCGATGTAAAAAGCAAAAGCAAACCCAATAATATTAATGTTATTTATTACAACTATTATGTTATCATCTTGGATTCTTAACATTATCTTTGTAAAGAAGACAATATAATTGTATTCATTTTACAATATAGAAATTGAGTATTAGTAACTGTCAGAGACAAGATTCCAAGTTGGATCTGCCTGGTTCCAGAACCTGGGTTTCTTTGCTTCTTTGCCACCACACTGTACTGAGTGGCACTCCAAAATCTTTCACAGCAGAGCACATGTAAGAGGCAATAGGTTTATAGCACTGGGATAAGCATAAAAGGTTTCTACTATCCATTGTGCCAGAGCTGTGGCTTACTCAGGCCCTACAGGACAGATGGGAAGCTAAGAAGGTATTTAAGGCAGAATATCTACAATACACTGGAGCACCTGAGGATGTTGGGACACAGGGTCTGAGAAGCTCTGGATAGCACCATCTGTTTAATATGGAGGGTGATTTGGAACTTATTATAAGGAATGACATTATTTCTGACAATTTAACATGAAATACCTCATAAAAGTGAATTCTCTATCACTGGAGAGAATTGAAAACAAAAACAAAAAAAAGAGGCATTTATTAGGAGATTGTAGAAGGAATTCATTTTGTTTAGTTAGAGGACCTCTCTGCTGCACTAATTTTAATTTTCATCTCTTTTTTCTTTTAAGTCAACTTCAATGATTCTACTTCCTACTAGGACTTGTCAGCACTAAATTTTTTTTATGTTTATAACCAGTGTCTTGAGACATTTCTTAAATAGCTAGGTAACTATTAAGTGTTGTTTAACTTCTCACTCAAGTAGTTAAACATCTAATGTAATTGTAAGCTCTTTAAGGTCAACACATACTTGTTAAAAATCTTATTACCTCCAGCAGAAAGTCCAATATT